AGGTTTAAGCCGCTAACAAGGAGGTCAAATACATGTCAGGAGGAGGTCAACTTTATGCGAAATACAGCTGTCTGCAGGATCTCAGTAGCATCTTAAACTGATCTCAAATGCAATAGATGGCACCTGAAATCAAACTGTATTTGCCCATTGACACAGATCATTAGTTAATACTAAATTATTCTAATGTCCTATAGTAAGGCAATCTTCACGTGACTGCCTAAGTTAATCGTATAAGCCTGCCCACACTTCTTTGAAGCCTTATTGATTTCCATAGATAACTAGAAGGTACAAGCAAATGTATACTGTTAATTGTCTTACTGTATTTTTTTTAATGTTTTCACTTCAGCACAGCAGCATAAATACTCAGAACCTGGCAGCAGGCTGCAGAGAGAACTGCTGCTATCTGTGTGCGTGAGCAGCGGTCTCTCTGCAGAGGTCCAACACAATCCCTGCTGAGTCATAGCTAGAGTTTTGCAGTCATCAAAGCTGCTGACTGCACCGCTGTGGCTCCACATTTGCAGAGAGAGAGAGAGAGAGAGGTGGAATCTTCTATAGCAGCGCTGAGAGGATATTGGCGGGATAACTACTTCAATCTCCAAAGCAGTGATTTCCAGTATGTGTTGCTGTAACACCCTCCTTCCAAAGTATTGGATTAAGTTGTTATTTAAGTGAAAGCTATTACGTCTTTAACATTTTAACTGTTTTTTTTTTTTACTCTAGAGTGTCGTTTTCTTTTTTAACCCACTATTCTTCCTGTTAAATACTGGTGCCTCTTTTTTTGAAGGTACATAAAAATGTGTAAAACTATCCAGATTCTCTTTGCTAGTCATTTCCTGGACTCTGAAGAGGTAAAATATTTACATCCCTGCTATAAAGCAAAATCAAACACCCTGCAGTCTGAAATCCTAGATGGCAATGGCAAAGACAGGATTATTTTTAGTTTTCATTTTAGAATGTTTAATATATCTTGGGATTGCTGTTTGTATTGTTTACTTGTAGAGCTCCCAAATTCAACAGCATGCAGCATTAAACACACATCATAATCACATGTAGGAACCTTGCTCCTCATTTCATAATGCAAACAGGTATGTAAAGCCATTTTTTAATTAAGTATGGAAGGGTTAGAACCTCTGACAGGGTTATTGCTGCCTTTGTCCCCACTGGGGAGATTTCCCCTTTATTGGTCCTGGTGACCATTGTCCACAAATCCAAAATGTTGTCCCAGAAACAGGAAGTAAGGTGAAATCTTGCAATGTGGACCCCTGTACCAGTTACAGCTGTCTAAGGGGGGAAATCCCATTGTTTTGAATATTACCTCCTATTTTTATCTGTCACTCAGGGACAGGACGTGAAGGGAAATCTGTCCAGCTGAACAAAGACAGAAAAATCCTCACAGGGTTTTTACACTTCAGTGTTAAGAAAAAAAGTGGATGGAAAGCCCTAAAATGCAAGTAGGCAAGTGGGCCGAGTCTGTTAATACTCTTCATTGGAAGCTAAATCTCAGAGTTGGTGGAGGATGCAGGCAAAATAGAGTTACTTCTGCTTTGAGTCTGCTGATCCCCACTGAGAAGTGAGTTTTCTGCTGTTTGGCATTGTGTTACAATCACCTTTGAATTGTGCATGACCGGAGTTGTGTGTGGTAACCTGGCCAGGCAAAGATCTGCATTTGCCTGACAAGTTTGCGTTGATAAAGTATCTGCAGTCACCCCTAGCAACTGTGAAAAAGTCAGTCAATTCTCCAGGGGGTGGCGAGGCACTTGCTGCTGTCATTTTGCCGCGTGGCCTTATGGTTGGATTGGCAGGTTCAATGAAATATGAGGCGGCAGTTTTGTTGCAACAAAACCCAGCGCTCCCAAATCAAAAAGGGTAAAACCTGCGATGGTGTGTGGTAAGACTTACTAAAGGGAAAAGAGTGGTGGAAAGGATATGTCATTTTTATTTCTCTGCAATGTGGAGACACAGGTTGTAAATGAATCTCAAAATGATATGATGCTTAATATTGTAAAACCCAATATGTGTATACCTTTAAGCAAAGTGTTGATATAAATGTGGTAGGGGTGACCCACTGAGGAAAGTGAGCATTTTCTCCCAGCAATGGTGTCAGGTGAAGCAGAGTGTCATAGCTAAAGGTTTCTCCGCACAACTTTAGTGGGAACGGTAGGAGAGAATATGTATGTTTTAAAGTAAGAGGCACAGGCTCAGAATATTGAAAATGTATTGATGCAGTCTGCAATGACTAAAGTTGTGGTGTTCTAAATTAATAATTTTCCCTGGGAAGGTTGTGGAACAGCTCGCTGTCACTAGATCAGAGTGGGGGGATTCAGGGCCCCCTTGTTGACAGACATGTTGAAAGAAGTGTGTAAACTGTTGAATGTCCAGCCGCTGTGCACTTCTGTGTCTCCTCCCCTGATGGATGGGCTGGTACTGTAGAGTTCCAACACTTGAAACAATGTGTTTAAAGGCTGTACTCCACAAAGGTGGACATGACAGGGACCGTTTGGTACATTGTTTACTATTCTAATGCAAGCAGTCCCACAGTCAGCTGCAGTTCTACTTCCAGTTATTTTTGTAGTATATTAAAGGTACCCCAAAAGACTGTTAGACTATATCAGGGAGGAAAATTATTTAACCACCTTAATACCGGAGCAGTTTTGTAATTTTTGCACACACAAACTACAGTCTGAATTTTTAGATATAAAATTTCTTTAAACCCCCAAACATCTATATATTTTTTGAAAGCAGAGGCCCTGTAGAAAAAACAAACTGGTAGCTGCATTTTTTTAATGTCGTATGATATTTGTGCAAATGTTTGTGAAATTTATATTTTTAGTTAAAAACAAAAACACAAATTAATTTAATTGCACACAAACAATTGAACACCCTTTTGTTTCCGGTAAAATATAATGCACATGCAGGCTGCAGCACATTATCTGGGCAGCTGAAATAGGGGGTATTGGTAAAAGTGCCAGCGTGCACAAGTGTGAGTAAAGCGATTGGAGTCACTGACCCAAAAGTGGATTCTTGCAGTAAACCTGATAAAGCCCCTGAAGCACAGGAAGAAATGGTATGTACTAATCCTGGAAACTGGCAAGCTGTGCCAGAAGGGTTCTCACGTGTCTGAATGGAGACCTATATTGCAATGTTAAATGTCAGATTTGTGCATTGCTATATATACATCCCACAGTTGGGAAACTCAGAGAGGGTAATTTATCAGCCTGAAAGTGTGCTGGGAACCCCTTTTTTGTACTGTTTTGTACACTGCCATGCCGATGTCCACCTTTCCCTTTTTGCTAGTTTTAAATACATTTGGGTGGCTGCCAAACGTGTTTTTTTTTGTTATTATTATTTGAATAAGACACACAAAACGTCTTCAACATAAGAGAACTAATCCAGCGCAATGTGACTAACCACTACTAGCTTCCCCATGACCTGGATAAATGAGAACCTTCACATAGCTAAGATAACGTATTGGAATTTCCCATAAAAAGGTAATTTGAATTCTTGGGTAACATTTTAAAGAACTCCCATAACTATTTTTTTTGGGGTAAAAAGGCAATATACCTGGTTTGTTGTCCTTCACAAGTGGGCTATTAAATTCTGTAGTAGCATATTGCACATTAATGTGGAGTTAGGTGGGTAATATGGTTAATATGTCTCCTTTTATTTTTTTTAACTACCTCCGGGCCGGCCGTAGTAAAAAAACGGCCGGCCAGGAGCTCTCTCGATCTGAGCGGGCGTCTCTAGACGTCCGCTCAGACACAAAAAACCCGGGCAACATACCCAGTGACAAGAACATTAAAACAAACAAACAACAACAAACAAAACAAAACCAAAAAAAAAAATCCAGTAGCCTATGTCTCCTTTATTTAAATACATTGACATTGTTGTTCCTAATTTAAGATCTTATAAAGACCCTGTCACCAAACCTAATACTAAAACCTAATAAAGTTCATGTAATACACCTTCAAATCAGTACTATAGTGTTTAAAAATGCTAGCAGGTAGGTGTTTATTGCAAAAGAGTTGCTGTATGTTTCTTCAATAAATGCTTCTCACCTGCCTGCAAGCAAGTTTCTTCAGAATGAACACTGAGCTACGCATGCACAGTTCAGTGTACATTCTTTGCATGCCTTTGGTGCTGGGATGAATTAACTCCCATGCGCATGTGGGGGACTTGCATCAGCTCGGGCTGGCCAATCAAAATGGTCTTATATGCAGAAGACCAGGCAAAGGGACGTCACATCGCTGGATAGGTTAGGGCAGCAGACTGTAGTTCTGCCCATCACTGCTCTTCCCCAGCCCCTAATGTGTTACATCACCAGGGTCTGACAGCAGCTCCTAAACACAACCTTATGATATGGCAGTTGCCGACACTGAGACTTTTTCAGGAGTGTGCACTTTCCTGGGTATATCTGCAATTATGAAGATATACGTATAGTATATCCTATGCTGAAATCTTACTGGAAGTGTTGGAGTCTTCTAATTATTGCTGTGCCTCTTACTCTGTATTTATTAACTGAAGTCCTTTTCCAGGAGGCAACATTAAGTACAGCTTAAGCTAGGGCTGCAGCTAACTATTATTTTCATAATCGATTAGTTGAAAACCCAGGTACAGAGTAAATATGTTCTGAAACCCCATTAAAGAGACCATGCCACCAGACCTATTACTGTAATTTTAGGAGTATTGAATTTGCCCAATTTAGGTTGCTGCCTTTGGCCTCTGAATGTGAGAATTATCACCACCTTTTCTCTTTTTTGATTGTTCTTCTAAATGAATTTGTATTTTCATTTTATATAGCAGCTGATAAAGGCATTGCAAAGGAACTTCAACCTTGTTGATCCTCTCCAACAGAGGCAGTAAACAGATAGTCGATATAGCTGTTTGACTCTTGCCAGCAATGGCATTTTTGGAATTTTTAAATATGTCTCTTTGCGTATATTGCTAAAGTTTGATGTGGATTATATTGTTACCTGATCCCTTCAATTTGCTTTGTTTTGCAGCAACTTGAACTGGTTGAGCCAAGCGGCTGGATACACATCCCTCTAACTGACGCTCATAAAAAGCCTATCCGAACCTTTATGATTCAGATAGCAGTGTTGGCAAATCATCAGAATGGGAGAGATACTCACATGCGACAGATTAAAGTCTTCACACCAGTGGAAGAGAGTTCAATTGGCAAGTTCCCCAGATGCACCACTATTGATTTCATGATGCATCGTTTCATCAGGTGATCTAACCACGATCCAATAAATGGCTAACCCTAACATTGTTACATATAAACGCTTTTATTTTCTTTTATTGCTGTTGTTAAAATGTATAGTTTTATTACCCGACACTAGGTCATGACTTTTTAATTTTCATTCTGTTTTAGTATATTGGGAGGTTCTGGTTATTTTCCTCGCTGTTCACAGGTTTAATTATTGCGGTGTTCATATTTTTTATGCTGACATTTTTACAAACATGTACTACTGCTATTAAAAATAACGAATCGTTGTTGCATTCTTTCTGAGATCTGTTCATTGCACTGAAATGTTCTTTATGCCAAAAACATGATAACTTTCACGTTTGCTTTTATTATGTACATTTTTAAAAAATAAATTATATAGTATTTTTTGGGTATCTCTTCACTGTACTATCATATCATACTATACATTCATTTTAATGCTTTGCTTTTGTACCAAGCTTAGTAGGAGTGCAGCTTTAATGAATAAATAAATGTACTACCTTACCTTTTTACCCACAAATTCAAGATATTTATCCCAAATTAGGATGTAATTAGATGTCCTTTATTAAGTAGACATCTATGGGGCCACCTCCCAAGCATATGCTGCCTTGAGAGACAGCCATTAGGAGCTGACAGTGGGAAGATCTAGGCCGACAGCAGGTAAGCATTCAAAAACCCTGTAAATATGCAGCTGAGGTGTTTGAAGGTGGTGGGTTAGCTCCTCCGCTATTTGCTTCAGATTTATAGTACCAATATTTATAAATCATGCCTTGCATGTTGGTGGCATGGCAATGAGACTCTGCCCTAATGCAACCCTGTAGCTAAAAAAATAAAATAAATGCTTAATATTTAAATTGTAAACAGAAATACTTCATACGTACCTGTTCTTCTTCTGTCTCTACTTCACTTTTGTGTCCTGTTGTGATACACAGTGAGGAAAATAATTATTTGATCCCCTGCAGATTTTGTAAGTTTGCCCACTTACAAAGAAATGAAAGGTCTATAATTTTTATCATAGGTGTATTTTAAATGATAGAGACAGAATATCAACCCAAAATCCAGAAAAAACACATGATGCAAATGTTATAAATTGAGTTGCAGTTCAGTGAGTAAAATAAGTATTTGATCCCGTACCAACCAACAATAATTCTGGCTCCCCCAGACTGGCTATGTGGTACACAGATTAGTCCTGTCAATTCAAGAAGGTGCTCCTAACGACAACTAGTTTATGTATATAAAAGACACCTGTCCACAGAATCTCTTTCTTCCATTCAAACCTCACCACCATGGGCAAGACCAAAGAGCTGTCAAAGGACGTTAGGGACAAGATGGTAGACCTGAACAAGGCTGGAGTGGGCTACAAGACTATCAGCAAGAAGCTTGGTGAGGAGGAAACAACTGTTGGAGCGATTATTCGCAAATGGAACGAATACAAAATAACCATCAATCGCCCTCGGTCTGGAGCTCCATGCAAGATTTCGCCTCATGGGGTAAGGATGATCATGAGAAAAGTGAGGGAAGTGAGGAGCTTGTGAATGATCTCAAGGCAGTTGGGACCACAGTCACCAAACAAACCATTGGCAACACAATACTATGCCATGGATTGTGATCCTGCTGCGCCAGCAAAATCCCCCTCCTCAAGAAGGCACAAGTACAGGCCTGTCTGAAGCTTGCCAATAAGCATCTAAATGATTCAGAGACGGATTGGGAGAAAGTGCTGCGATCAGATGAGATCAAAATTGAGCTCTGGCATTAACTGGACTCTTTGTGTTTGGAGGGACGAAAATGCTGACTATGACCCTAAGAACACCATCCCTACAGTCAAACATGATGGTGGAAACATTATGCTTTGGGGTTGTTTCTCTGCTAAAGGTACAGGCCGACTTTGACGCATTGAGGGGCCAACGGATGGGGCCATGTTTTGTAAAATCTTGGATGAGAACTTCCTTCCCTCAGCCAGAACATTGAAGATGGCTCGTGGATGGGTCTTTCAGCATGACAATGACCCAAAACATACCGCCAAGGCAACAAAGCAGTGGCTAAAGAAGAAGCACATTAAAGTCATTGAGTGGCCTAGCCAGTCTCCAGGCCTCAATCCTACAGAACATTTATGGAGCGAGCTGAAACTTCGCATTGCCAAGTGACAGCCAAGATACCTTTTCAAGGATTTGGAGAAGATCTGTAAAGAAGAGTGGACCAAAATCCCTCCTGAGATGTGTACAAACCTGGTAGCCAACTACAAGAAACCTCTGTGCTTGCCAACAAGGGTTTCTCCACCCAGTACTAAGTCATGTTTTGCTTGGGGGATCAAATACTTATTTTACTCACTGAACTGCAACTCAATTTATAATTTTTGTATCGTGTGTTTTTCTGGATTTTTGGTTGATATTCTGTCTCTATCATTTAAAATATGCCTATGATATAAAAATTATAGACCTTTAATTTCTTTGTAAGTGGGCAAACTTACAAAATCTGCAGAGGATCAAATAATTCTTTTCCTCACTGTATGGGCCAGCAGGAAGAACCACAGAATGCAGAAGGGACACTCAAAACTGTGTTGGATGCGGGGATTGTTTGGGCAGCTTTGCACAACAACAATGCTTTAAAGCATTCCTGTTAAGGACTACTAACAATTCATTGGCTATGTTCACACCAGTACACTTCACTCTTTATAATTCAGGAGGCATATTTTGATCTGTTTTGGATTTTTCAGTGTCTTAATGTACCTTTAAGAATATCTAAATCAGATTAGAGCTAAAGCTGAGAGCTATACAGGAAACAGTGGCTGTAGACTGTAACCAGGATTTTGTGGTTCAAGTGTTTATAGGCATGTGAGTTTTAGATGACTACAAGATGCCCCTGGTAATTCTGTTGGAGAGGATGAGGAAGTGGTAGAAGAAAATAAAAGGCCACCTGTGTTGAGAAAGGATGTACTCTTTAGAACACAAATTATATTTTATCTTCCCAGCAGTGACTAAAAATCTTGTAAAAAGAATGGAATGAAATGGAGCTGTGTGATTTATTTCTAAGAGCTGGACATTCTATTAAAAACCACAAAATATGTATGAAAGATTATAGCAGCTGGAACAAACTGTATCCCTTTCTTTTCATCCCGGGTGTATCCTACGAGTACACATTTAATAACACTTTATTTAGTTCCAAACATTTTATTTCTTCTCCCCCAAGTTTTCCAAAGATTAACGCAAGCCATTTAAGTTATTACATCAGTTCATAGCTTTTATCTGTGCTTTTCTTATTCGACAGCAAGACTTGCGACATTACATTAAAATCATTTAGGGGTTTACTTGATAAACTGAGAGTGCCAACTTGGCCTGATGACAAGAAAGCTCACATTTAAGTCTAAAGGAGTTTAAATACATTGGTGCCAAATCAACACATTTACGGTCTATTGAGGAACACCCTAACTTCACATTGCTTTATAAAATGGAAATTCATTTGTAAGCTTATGACAGCGGGGACTCATTCTGCTTGAATTTTGTGGTCATTGGTAACATCAAGGAAATCCATAGTTGGCACCACCTTATAATATGGTTACATGAAGAATTGGTTTTTAAAAACAAGTGTAACACAGAGTTAAGGGAAGATGAAGGGAAAAAAAGAAAACAAAAGTCCTATAGCATTTCTGGTCTTCTGAAGGTGAAATGCTGGTGCAATATCCAAATGTTATTGTAGCGATAACTCCCCGCAAGAAGCCGCTGGCCCGGTCCACATCTAGTGGGTCTAGGGGTTGATTTCAAGCTGCGCCCATTAGCACTAACCGCCCACTTCAGGTGCCCATAAATTGATGTCCACTTCAGTAGTATGATGCTAATTGAACATTTTATTGAACATCTTTTGTGGGAGAGAGGGTATAGGGGTTCTAGGTGTCTAGGGGTAACCATCAGAAGCTCCAGACTCACCGGACCTTGTAAGAGTAGCAATGCAGATCCACAATCCAGGAAAGAAACACTGACCCTGCTCTGAAGTCCACATAGATCCAGGGCAGTTCAAGAGCCTGCACTGGTCCTGGTTCTTTTCCTCTTTCCATCTCTCAGGCCTCCTCCATGTTGGAGACCTCAGGGAAACCTCTTTCCTCACTTCAGCCTATGCCCACCCCCAGGCCTTGGCCTAGCCTGGGGGCAGGCGGAGGGGACCCAGCCCTAATCCAAGGCTGGTCCAGGCAAGAGAGAGTGCACATGGCAGCTCCCACCCATATATGTACACTATCCCAGCAGGCACCACTGACTGTAAGAAGCCCAGTGATTGGCTGCTGTACTGTACACATATTACAGTGTCCACCATTGGCTGTCCCACAATATAACAGAGTCACACTCCGCCCAGGGGGGTACAGGCAAGGCTAGACAGCTGGGATTAACCATGTAATCGCCACTACAATCCAGCCAGGCTGTCTACAGCCCTGGCTATCACTAAATAGCCCTGGCTATCACTAAATGCATAGTAGTCACATCACAAAAGGCGATGGGCGCTACATTATTTTTTAGCATTTAAATTAGGGATTGTATAAAATTAATATAAAAATACCTGAAAAAATAAGCTTCCCAAATAAGTACATTTCCAGTCCCGAAAGTTTAATAACAAGTACTCTGGACTTAACCCCTAACCCTTAATGTCAAGTAAAGTGTATGGTTTTAGTCGAGTAGTGAGTGGGAACTGTTAGAATCCAGTCTGTTTTTTCGCTTGCTTGATTTACCCTCTCTCTATTTATCCTGGTGACCATTGCTACCAAGACCGAAAATGTTGGGAGATCCAAAATGTTACAGTTGTTACTAGAACAAAGGGCAGGGCAATGTTTCCAAAGAGAACACTTGTTATAGTGACAACTTTATAGGGGGTGAATTCCTGTTGTATCTCCGGAAAAGGAAGTGAAGAGATATCTTCGCCAAAGGATACAGAGAGCAACAATTAAAGTTTGTCCCTTTTAGTTTGTTAAATATACTATGGAAAGTGTTTTGCTGCATCTGTTTAGAAATGCCTGTAAAAGCTTTTAGAAATCTTGTCAACTGCCCCACTGCAAGGGTAGTTTTTTTGGGGGGGTTTTGTTTTTTTGTTTGTTTTGTTTTTTCTATTTTTATATGCAGATAGTCTTTAAACCTTAACATGAACACACTTAGCCCAACTCCCCCTAATCTTATCAATTATCCTAATGAGAGGTGCACCGAATTGAAAATTTCAAAAACGAAACCGAAATAAAAAAAATGTCAGGCCAAAACCGAAAATGTTTTTTTTATTTTATCTTTTTCAAATTGTTTTTATATTTTATTTTTATTTATTTTTTATAAACTTTTTAATTGTTTTATATTCATTTTTATTAAATATTTTTACTTTACTTTTAGGGGCT